TTTATAGGAATATATAATCGTTATAGCATTACATAATCGTTAGTCTTAAAAACCAATTCAATTTTTTCGATTCGTCATTAAAAAGTGGTTGAAAACGAGGGTGAATACATTATTGATAAAAATAAAAAATAAAGTAAAATAAAATCTTAGCAACAAATATGAAATGCACCATTGCGACATTACTTTCGGGCCCCTTTAATATTTCATGAATTTAAAAGTTGTTCGATCAGGTTGGGCGAAAACAACCAACTTACAGCACTGACATTTATACTAGAATCGCAAATAGATTGATTATCTGATATCTAAGTTGATGAAACTTCTGATCGCGTGTTGTTCTTGTCAAATTATTAAAAATAAGTTCGTATAACTGTTTCTATGGACCAACATGGTGCAAAATATTAAAATCAAAAACAAAACTTGGCACAAAAATAGTAAATAAGTAAAATTTTGAAAAAATTGCTCAATGTTAATTATATTAAATCAATACTTACGAAAATTTCTAAAAATATGTTTCTATTTGTATAGTTAAATCTTGTTACTGCGACGTAATTTTTTTTAACAATATCTATCACAACATGATTTATATTATAAAAATCATTCACATGAATTTAAAAGCTATGGACAAAATTGAAAAGAATTAATATATTGATTCTCTAAATGATATTTTTACAATAATTCTTGAGCTAAATCCTCATATGCAAAATTTTATAAGATTTTGAATTCTTTTCAATCTTTCCATTTTTTTTAACCCTGAAAATATATTATAAATGCACGAATTAATAATTTAAAATGCAGTTTTGCTTAATAACTACTAATGTAAACGGAAATTTATATTTATAATCGTTTTCATAAATTGTCATAAGAACAGCTAATGATTTAAACGCTTAAACCACGAATTAAGAATGGATTATTCAAATAACTTAAAGTTCAATATAAGAGTACTACGAAAAAGTTTCTAAAAAGAAATATAAGTCCATTTCAAAGAAACAGAAAAATAATTCTTGAAGTAAATAAAATAATATCTACTGAACTGCAGCTATTTTTCTTATCTAACATTATTGAAAGCACTATTAATTGTTTTTTAAATTTAAAAATGTTATTAATATTGATTAAAAAGATATATAGGACTTTTTACTAACATGTATATTACCGAACTCTCCCTACTTGAATTTGGAAATGAGGCAATTTAAACAGTAGGTACACATATATTTTTTTTTTAATTTAGCAAGTAGCACCAAATGCATCTGGGAAATAATAGAAAGAAGAAGTAAATCATCAATAGCAATTAACTATTCAGTACAGGGTTCAGTACTCTATCCTTGTCAAAAAGCAAAGCAAAGTGATTTGAAAGCAATCATCTTATCAGCAAGAACTTCATTGCTTGCAGAGAAAAATTGTATAGAGTTCAGCAACAACTTTCAGAAAAGTGAATCCCAAAGCAGGGCTCATCTCTGTTTTGACCATCCCTTTTAACCACAAATTGAACCAGAAAGGGGAAAGCATATCTTTTGTCTCAACCTTTTAGGTAGCATTTTTCTAAATGCGCTCGACCCTTGTAGTAAGACAGAGGGGAGACCCCAGGAGGGTTAATATTCTTTCTATAAAACCATAAAATAGTGTGTGATTAAATCTATTTAGTCTTTGTAATTAATAAATTTATTTTAGGAATTCTACCGACCTATGGAAATAGCTGGACTTTTGGCAAAAGAACAATTGAATAGTATTTTTTTAAATCTTGATGAATTGATTGCAGCTAATTCAAAATTTTCTGAAAAACTTCAAGATACTTTGGATATAGCAGTGGAGCAAGGTGATGAGGTAAGAAAAATCTTGAGAGTTATTATTCAATTTGACTGGAATTATAATATAATTTTGGCTTTAAGCCTTTTATTTTGAAACCCGTTGATGAAACCCGTCAGTTAAAGTGTGATTAAATCCTTCCCTACTTAAAGGCAATAGTGCTAATAAATGAATCTTAACGTTTAAATTCTTCTTTTTTTTTTCATTTTGTCCACACTCTCAAAACCGTAAGTTTAATTCACAAAATTTTTACTACTACTTTACAAAGGGTCCAGATTGCCTGGCTGGTAGGGCACTGGGCCCATGTCCAAGAGTTCGTGGGTTCGATTCCAGGCCGGCCAAAGACTCCCCGTGTAGTAAATGGGGACTTATGCACTTTAAATCTGTCGAGTCGCAAAGTCCTCCATGTTCCCATAACGAATTAATACCTCTGGGGGTACTGATCCAGGAGTTTCCTTGTTTTCTGGATTGGTTCAAAATTACAAGGCTACGGAGTTGAACATTAGTAGTCGTAAATCCAAAATTGGGTTGGCTGTTCAACGACGGATATAAAAATAATATAAAATAAAATATAATAGTTTGCAAAGGATGTTCATACGATATAAGTGATATCAAACCTAATAAAGCATTGAAATAATGAAATGGAGGAAGCATGTTTCCATTCAGCACATATGACGTCATAACCAACCCGGGATCGTTTTTTATTGTATCCCTTACAAAGGCAGTTTGGGACAATTTAAATGTTTAATAACTAGATAAAGAAACATTTGGCTAAAAAACAATCATATTTTCGGTTTTGGAAGACAATTTCCAGAAAGCTGGGATTGAAAATTTTGAAAAAAATTTAGAGACAATTGCGCACATAATTAAATACACTGAAATCTTAAACTAAGGAAACTGCATTGTCATTTCGTAATCAAAAGATCAGATCATAACAACTTCTTTTTCTTTTATCATTCCTTATATAAGCTTAATTCATTCAATAGACTTTTTTTTAAATTGTTTTATAGGATTATATATAGGATTATATATTGAGCATTGGACAAAATTATTAATTGCAATAAGATAGTTTTGATGTGAAATATGAAAAAAATATTTAAAAACAGTCATTATAGACACATATATATTTTTCTATTTATTAATGCCTTATTTTAAACCACTTGTACATTTTATTATTTCAGGATTATACTACTGTGAATTTAGGGAAATTGTTTTTGGAATGTTCTTCAATGATGGATGCATTTGAAACCTATTGTGTGAAACAGGTAAATGTGTGCTTTAGTCTTCTTTAAATTGAATTCAACTTGAAATAGTAAATAATTTTTTCATGTACTTTCTTGATATGCTGTGAAAAAACATTTTTAATAAATATTTTCAAACACTTTTAATTGAAAAATATGAATGTCATATTGATAGTTTTTAAAAATTTAAATGAATTAATCTTTTAATTGCTAATTGTAAGTTACGCAAACAAGATCAGGATTGCGTATAGTATCTTAAGAGGACGTTATGCAGAAATTTTGCTTCACCTCTTTAGGTTTAGAGAAAAAGGAATAAACCTAGAGATGCTGAGAAAATACTTTTAAAATTTCAAATTTGAGACGCAGTGGAGGAAGAATTTCAAATTTGAGAATCAGTGGAGGAAGAATTTCAAATTTGAGACGAAGTAGAGGAAGAATTTCAAATTTGAGACGCAGTGGAGGAAGAATTTCATATTTGAGACGCAGTAGAGGAAGAATTTCAAATTTGAGACGCAAGGCGGAGCAAGTTGGCAACTCTGCAAAATTTGTATTCAAATTTATTAGAATGATTTAATTTTTGTCCATAAAATGCATGGAACCCATTAAATATGCTTTTAATCCTTTATATTTCACAAATAAACTGACTTTAGTTGGCAGATCTTTTTCGAAAAATGTTACTAAATATCTTATTTTATTCTGTAACCGACGTTGGACAACCAACCCAATTCTGATAATGTCAAATATCATCAAAAGTTTGTTTAGAAATCAAAAACTAAGCCTAATATCAAAGATGGCGGGACCTTTACCGTTCTATCACCCAAAAAAAAAGAGTGTTATTGAATACAAAATATTGAATGTTTGTTTTTTGAAATAGGCTTCAGCATCAGTTCTACTAAGTGCCTTGGAAAAGGATAAAGAATTGTTGCGGATTTTTTTACGAGTTTCCCAAATGGAAAATACATTGCTGAGAAGAATGAATTTACCAGCTTTTCTCATGGTTCCAGTTCAACGAGTAACTCGGTAAGCTCTGTTTTCTCCATTAATTACTAAGATGTGCTTAAAAATGTAAGAAAATTTATTTGATTAATCTATTCAACGACGTTACAAGTTATATTTACTTAAAATGAAAATATTTCTTGCATTCACTTTCAGTAGTAAACTGAAAGAAGTGTGCTAGGGGAAAAAATGCTAGTTTGAACCTCTTTTAATACGTTTTCGCTTTTTGTTAGTCACCACTTTTTGCAGTTTTAATGTACGTAGCATTCCTGCAGTTGACATCATCATTCTACAAAATTACACATTTTTTTCTCAAATATTGGAAAGATATAAAAAGTCGCTGTTTTCTTATCACTATACTAATAATACGAAATTTTAAGTTAAATTAATATCGAGAAAAACAAATAAGGGTAGAAGCCTCTTAAGAATTGCACAGGAAAAGTCTGGAAATGACACTGTTATAAACGTTTTCTTCCTGTGCCTTTGAACAGCTACTTTTATTTATCTAATCTATCTTAATCTTATGCTGTTGTTTTTTAATAATTATTGTCGAAACTTACATTCAGCATTAGCTGCTTCATCGTAATTTACTGATTTGGCGACTTACTAGACAAGCTTGCCAAATCATTAAATTTCAATAGAACAATTATTTCTGAGCCTATAAGAATGCAATTTTTGATAATATATAATGAAAAACATAAAGTTAACATCAAATTGAGATATTTAAGGAAAATAAAAGGCACACAACTTATCCATATTAGGCAAAATATGACCGGGTTTTCGTGCAAATTTACTTCCGTTAAAAATTAATCTTTTACGCAGTATTTTGTGTCTAAGAGAAAAGTTTTTGTGTTTTTAGATACCCCTTGCTGTTGAGTCGTTTACACAAAGTGACACCAATTCATCACAAAGATCGTGTAGCACTGAGAGAAGCACAACAAAAAGTAGAATTGCATTTGGAACACATCAATCAAGTAAGAGAATTTTTCAGTAGTTGATTATCTTCAGAACAGAGTTAAATGAAACTATATTTTTTTTAATCAAGAATTAGAGTTAATATAGAATTTTTTCGGCTGAACCAAAATAATTCAATGTATGAAAGTCAAATTTTCTGTAAAAGATTTTCAAAAAAGTAGTTTTATTTGCAGTTTGTATGTAATCTGTAGCATTAAGAACAAAAAAAAACTATGAATATATTTTTTCAATGCAGACTATTATGTTAAGGGCATCATTTTCACCCAAGGCAGTTAAAAATATCGCACTGTTCATTATTATTGTGAGGTTTTATTTATTTATTTATTTTTTTATTTTATTTTATTAGTTTATCTAATAATAATCTCTTTTGAATGACAATTTTCGACATTCGAATGCAGATCAATCCGAAATAAATCTAATGATTCAAAAACCTGAATGTTTATCACTAGTTTTGAAACCATTTCATTAATAATTGAAGTTCGAGGGAGAAGAAAGGTTCATTTTTCCCGCAATCGCCAACTGTTGTATTTTGTAGATTACCGAGTTTTAACAAATCAATAACCTGAAAAATTGTTTCTCCGAAAGTTGGGTAACAGTGAAGATGGTTCATACTGGTTTAAATTGGTTGCGCCTGAGGAAAAATGGTTCCAAAGAAACTTCAGAAAACTTTATAACCCCTGTGTTCCCATAAAGGGTGCTTAAAATCAAAATTAGAAGTCCCTGAAAAACATGTTGGCAAAAATTTGAATGAAAAATCTTCTGTATTTTCAATATACCTCTAAAGAAAAGACGAGGTGGCTCAAAGAATAAATGAAGAAAACGAAAGAAATGCTAGTGAGGTCTTGACCAACACGTCTTTTAAATTTTAGTTCTTTTCAAAATCAAAAATTGTAAACATTGTTTTTAAATTTTTGGAGGATGTAAATAAACAATTGTTACATCCGTATATATTTTTATTTTGTGATTTCAATCGCTTCTAAAAATTTTTAAACCTTGAAATTTCTTCAAATCAGCTTTCATTGACCGCTCATTCCCTTTGGTCATCAATTATAATATGTAAAAAATAAAATAATTTTCTGTTGTTATTATTTATAGCAAACTAAGGGAGTTGGCGGAACAAAAATTTGGCGTCGAATTTCTAACATTTCTGCATCTCATCGACGTCTAGGGAAGGATATAGGTAGCATAAAACTACGGAAGGTAAGAACCAAACTCATTAACGAATAAAATATCTTATAAAAATAAGACCAATTATTATTTTTTATTTTTTCAGATGGCATTAGAAGTATTGAATTGGAAGCAAGATGAAACACGATTTGTCATGGCGGGAAATTTATTCTTCACTGATAATCCATGGAATAAGAAAGGAAAATTTACATATGTACATGCACTGCTTATTGCTCTTGGTAAACCCAACTCCAATTATAGGCCAGAGCTTGAGAATTTTGTTTTATTTCCTAGAAACACTGGAATTAGAGATGCAAGTTTAGTTCTAATGAAGGAAAAAAATGGTCGTTTTCTAATTACTCGGGTAAATATCTTAAATGAAAATATGTTTGCTTGTGAGAGTTGCAAAAGTATGCTTTTAAAGTTTAACATATTATGAATTTAATAACTGAAACAGTTCGCAGGTAAGATTTTTATTCAAAAAGCGTGTCTGAGAAAATGGGCACAGCTAGAAGTGCGTGTTTAAGAGAATGAACAGAGTTAGAAGTGCCTGTTTAATAAAATGGGCACAGCTGGAAATGCATATTTAAGAAAATGAGCACAGCGACAGCTGGAAGTGCATGTTTTAGAAAATGGCGCAGATGGAAGTGCGCGAAGAAAATGGGGTGCATGTTTAAGAAAATGGGCGCAGCTGAAAGTACGTGCTTAAGAAAATGGGCATAGCTGGAAGCGGGTATTTAAGGAATAGATAACTATTTTTTTAAAAAATGGATGCAGCCTTTGGTTTTATTTTTCAAAATTCTCTTAAAGCAATTGTTCTTTTTTAAAAAATAAGTTATTGAATTCTAATAAATTCGTTATGTGATATCATCCCAAAATCATTTAGCAAAAAAAAAATTTTTTTTTTTTGAGAATGCAACATTTGTTTCTGCAAGGTTCTCACGGGTCCCATAAACTTCTAATAGTAATGTTAAATTAAAGTTGCTCGAAGTTAGATTTTTAAAATCACTTAGTGTTCTAAATAAGAAGAAACGTCTGAAAAATTACATGAGTAATATACCGAAGTGCCGTAATGTTTATGCTTAAAGTACAAAAAAGTAAATGAACAAAATTTCTCGTTTAGTTAAATTTGAGTGGAGCAGAGAAAAGGCGCATTTTTTGCTACGTCTATTTATTCAAACACGTAACACGTATATTTTTGCAAGGTTCATTTTTTTTAAATAAGTCTCTCTCT